CTTATTCCTCCCACGTTCTTCAGTCTCTCTAATGTTTAAACTACCAGTACATTGCATAACTTTTTTGTAATTCCAATATTCTATCATCCAAAAATCATTCAGTAGACAAGTCTCCATCTAACTTTGTTCTATTAGAGTCCTAATATTTCATTTTAGGACTTTCACTGTCTCCCATTTGGAATGGGAGAGTAGCATGGAAAAAGGAGGATGCTTTTGAATTGCCTGGCATTGCCTGTCTGTTGTTTACTTACAAAACACCTTGCTCTAGAGCAGTGCATGAGAAAACAGAAAACATATTCAAATAAGTTCTTTCATTTCATTCAAGAGATTGTGCAACTCTTGCACAAGCACAAACATGAAGTTGCTATTCAGTCTTGCTTATATCACTATGTGAAGCCTTGCTAGAAGTATTTGCAGAATGCATTTGTGCAGGCATGTGTAGAAGTGTTCTAAGATTACGGCTTTTATGTTTGCATACAAGATCATACTGCTAGAACAAACATGCTGGTTTTTTTAGTGGATTGCTATGTTGGAGTGTTGCAAACCATTGCATTCTGTGGCTGAAGTGAACCTCTACTGAATACTGTGAATATAAAGCAGCTTAAAGAAAAGGGGTACTGTGAGCCTTCTTCAACCTCCGTCCAAAATAATATCCATTACAAACAGATCCACATATCTGATGTAGAAGATTGGGAAGTCCTCTAGAACAGATTTTGAAAGAAACAAAAGAAACACAGCAGAGAGGAGGATAATAAAACTGCTCATGCTCATCCATTTTGCCGTACAAAAAGGTTTCCTTCTACAGATAGAACTTATTAAACCAGACGAATTTTAAAATGTAAGTAAGCATTCTGCATAGTAGGTCTAAACTAGATTACTTACTGTACCAAAACTTTAACATACTGCTAGGAGTCTCATCAACCTTCCCATCAAACCAGCATCTCCAGAAGAAACCCTCATGGTGGAACATAATTGTCTCTTCCTGCACAAAAGAAATTAAGAACTCATCATACATTTGTATGAACTCATGTTCTATGTTTTATGGTGGATTGATAATAACTCCTGCTAATTCTGGGTATAACTGACCAAAATAGAAATCAGAGAAAGTAACCTCTTGGCTGAGGTTAATATTAAAATCAAAATGTCCCTTATGCATTCAATGGTCTTTCTAAACAAGAACAAAACAGACATATCCCTGATACCACTGCAAGAGATTATTCCTAGAAATAAAAAGTATACTAACCCTAGTGCGATTCACATCTTCAGAACACTTCCCAACTTCTGTAGCCAGAAGCCAATAGTCTGTTCCAAAAGCAACCAGAAAAAACAAAATCCCAAGAGCTCCAAAGAAGCCTCCAAAAAATATTCCAACACTCAACTTCATTGCTGATTTGTTCTTCAAAAATAACTGATAGGTCTAAAATATATATTTCAGGGTAGTGGGGGATAAATGTCCTCCTTAGATAAATTTAGTTAAGAATTGTGTTGCTTATGCTATGGCTTGGATTTGTGTTCAATTAAACTGCAACCCCTAGCAAATGAAGATAGACTTCTATTTTTGGACACTCCCTGAAACATCTTTACAGTATTTTCCTTAGCTGGCGTGAGCAGTCAAAAATAGCTGACCTTCCCTTAGCTAGCTATAGCTATTGGCTTGAAATATTGTTGCACATGGTGTATTCACATATGAAGAAGAGGGATGAAATTACTGTCCCCTTATTATTCTGCCTAGGGTGGATTTCAATATCCAATGCTGACAAGCAGTAGCAATATGTATACACCCTGCAATCAATTTATCTTCTTCCTATAAGGAGGCAAGGAATAGTTCTTCTCTGTCACAGGCAAACATACAAAGTACAGTGCAAATTAAGTTGCAGATATGTAGGCACATTGAAGCTTATCATCAGGTAGATAAAACACTTGAGCCTCATTGACTGATAGACTATCTCGTTCTAAGACATTTAAAGCTGAAATGTGCCCACTTGTTTTTTTTTAACTGTCTTTAAATGAGAGTATACATGTCTAGTTCAAATTCAGAATGAAAAGTACATCTCTGCAGGCAAGATTTCAGCATCTAATATGTGTTTATATTCACAAGAAAGCAGAAATATGAAATGTCCTGCTTTGTATGCTTTAATGAGATTTGGATATAGAGAATGTGATTTCTAGTGACAGCCAAGTACAACTATGCTTTTAGAAAACAGGCTGTACTACTATTTTTCAATTTCAAATATAAACAGATGTTTTCTGCATCCTGATGCCATCCAGATGCTCTGGGAATACATATCCCAGAAGAACAAATCTGCATCATTGATGAGTTGGTTGTCTTCGGATTCTGGAAATTTTATTCTCCATACCTCCAAATATGTGAGATTGGGATGGTGATATCTGGGTTTGCACTGGCAAAGAGGTAAGATTTTATTCAGTTGTACAGCTTTTCTGTATAGTAGTTGGACATGTGCACACCAATCTCCCTCCATCCCTCCCTCCCTCTCTCTGCACATAGTGGATTAACTGTTTAAACCAAGGCCCCAAACTCTTAGGTCAATGACTCCTTCATAAGTTTCAGATTGTTCATCGACCCTCAAACACATTACATGAAAATAATTTAATAAATATTACTTTATTTAGTGAAAGTAATAATAACAATAATGGATAGTCCCATTCACCATTAGAAGTCAATACTGACCACTTTGGAAAAGCCTGAATCTAAAGGAATTTGTTGAACTAGTTCAACACAGAAGTAGATAAGAGACATTGAGATAATTTGCAGGTTTGACAGCATATCATTAGTCTGATCATAACACAGCTACTATGGTAAGCAAGTTTCTTGTCAACACTTCTGTTTTAACGTGTTTTGACTCTCCTTTCCTTTTCACTTAACTTTTTTTTCTTTTTTCTGTACAGGTTAAGTACATTCTATGCAAAGCAAAGGAGTCTATGAAAGGGCAAGGCATTGTTGCAAATAAAAATTATGCTAGAAGTTGGTGGAGACATTGACAGGTGACAAAACTTGTAGATGTAACTGGAAACTGCTCTGCATTCCTGACTTAAGACAAAACCAATTATTGTGTTTTAAAAATATAAAGTATTTTCAAGTTCCTGGCTTTTTTTAATTTCATCAGTTTGCCTCAAGACCTCAAGACCTGAGGCCTTTATAAACATATCAATATAGTTTTCATGAAAAGGATACAAAAGTGTCTACTTTTGGGGGAGGGGGTTGTTGGATTTTGTTTTGTTTTGTTTTCCAATTTAACCTGAAACCTTGAGATTCTGTTATGGTTGCCCTCAACTACATCTCAGAACTAAATTTGCTTAGCAGAAAAGACTCACTGATAAGAGCCCACCAAATGTAGCTCCCTAAACAATGGAAACCATCATATCCATTCTGTAAAATGGAATACACAGATGAAATCGGGGAAAGTCAATCCCTCAAATATATACAATGACCAAAAATATGTATTCCAAGAGTACTAAATAAATTCAAATAGTATTAAAGTACTCAATAAATATTTAACAAGTGAATATTATGGAGTAGCTATTTTCACTCAAATGCATGGTTTCATAGTATCCCACATCATTATATTATTTCTTGCATTTAATTAAAAAAAATCCTCTACAGATCATATTTATTTTTTCAAAATGTTGTCAGTAAGATTTCTTAAACTATTTGGGGGAAACAGAGGTGGTTTATAAATCACATAAATTACTTAATTTTACGTAAATAAACACATATGATGTTCTAATAGAAGAACTTCTGGCACTGTCAATGTCTTAGAAGATAGCAAAGTTTCTACCTGGCTTTTATGAGCATTTAGATCATTTAGAGACTCTTTTCCTGTCTGAAAATGCAACTACAAGTAGAACTGCAGGGAACTAAGAAGCTACTGTAAGATTATTTTAAATCAATGTTTATATTATTTTTAAATATTATTTCAAATCTGAACAATTTACTTATGAAATGGACAACATCTATACCACCTATTCCATGAATCTTAATGGAAAATCTCATGGTGGTATCTCTTAGATTAAAATTAAGCCCTTATGCTTCATTGTGAAAAATAAATCCAGCCTAGAGCCTTGGCCGCCAGTCTTATGGAAACAATTATCCATTCTACTGATAAAGATATAATCTTCTAAGATTCAAATTTATAATACAGAATTTACTAGATTAAGACCATTTCTGGTTTTAATTTATTTTTACTCTTATTGGATTTAGTTTGGTATATGATACACAGTTTTCCATTTTTGTTTTGCTGTTTTCCCTATGTCTACAAAAATGCTCTATTTTTTTAAAAAAAAGATCCATTGAAATACTGAATAAATTATTAAAGTATTTCCCTTATATGTTGATTTTTTCTTTTCTTTTATAAAACTGAGAAGTCATGACTATAACACACACAAAAAAGATTAGGGTCATTTACTTTGTCTTCAGTTTTGGTATAGGACAGAATGCATTCCTCATATAGAAGATTTCTTACAATTTTTACAATGTTTACAAGAATATTTGCAAAAATACTGATTGTGAATATTACCAGTATTATCACTATTTATCAAGTTTCACAAAATTCTATTGAGTAGGAAAAAACTTTTTGAATGTTCACTTTTTATATAAAATGTTTTAGGTATCCCCCATCTCTCTCTCCCTCCCCTTTCCCAAAGGCAGATATGTGGTTGCTGCTGGATGGGGTAGGGAGCAAAAGATTGTGACATTGACTGGGAAAAGTCAAGGAGGGTTAAAAATGATCACATGCAGCAGCAACCAATAACACTGAAGCAGTCATAAATTTCCAAAATTTCATTCCCTCAAAAGTCTTGAATCCTGGATTTTGGAGACATTTTGTAAGTTAGTCCATTAGGCTTGGTTCAAAAATTGTTGCCATATGATGCACCATTTTGCCCAGTTAAAGAACATGACAATGAGAGTTTTAGAGTATATAGATGGATTACATTACTGAAACACCCACCATTTACAGGAGAATTACAAACACCTAATATAGATAGACCAGTTAATCACAGAAGATGAGCTGGGAAAAGGCAGCATTGTGACAAGTATGTTTGACTTGGATGTAGAAATGCACACATTAGAATATTCTGTTCTGTTCTGTTCTAGTCCTAGTCCAGTGGTGGCGAACCTATGGCACGCGTGCCAGAGATGGCACTTGGAGCTCTCTCTGTGGGCACACCTGCCGTTGCCCCAGCCTTGCCTCCCCCATGACCCCCTCACCAGCAGCCCCCCTAGAGGAGAGTCGCCCCCAAGTGTGGCCCACGCGGAGCAGCGCAGCCAAGGACATGGCAGTCAGGTAGACAAGACTCTGTCCTCATGCCTCATCCCGCACAGTTGATGCTGTGGGGCGTGGGCAGAGGGCGTGGCCACCATGGCGCTGCTGGGCTGCCTGGGCGATCTGCGGTGGGCCCTGGAGGCGGTGAGTGGCCCTGCGGGCAGGTGGGATAGGTGATGGGGTGGGGGCAGAGCAGGTGGAGCGGGGGCAGAGCCAGTTTTTGGGCACTCGGTCTCTATAAGGTTCGCCATCACTGTCCTAGTCCTATTTCTATTCTATAATAGAATAGAAATAGAAATAATAATACTAAAAGTGTAAATTAGCTGGACTTATATTATCTCAAGGATTATTATGCATTCAAGTGTGAGTAGCCATATTCCTATTAACAGCATACAATACAGCCTGCTACTCAATGCTTTTTTTCAAAAAAAAAAAAAAAAAGGTGCCGGAACTCACACATGTCATACAACCCGCCTTGCCTACCCTACAAGGTTCCATCCAAAAAAGGTGCCAGAACTCTGTTCTGGGCGTTCTATGAGGAAAAAAAGCCCTGCTGCTACTTATAATGCTAGAGAAATTGATTTTAAACTATTTGGGGGGAAAAATATATGTAACGTTACTTCTAAACCTACATATAAAAGGATTGGTCTGATAGACATATATTTATTTATTTACATCCTGCCTTTATTATTTTTATACTAACTCAAGGTGATGAACATGTCCAACACTCATTCCTCCTCTTATTTTCCCCACACCAACTCTGTGAAGTGGGTTGGGCTAAGAGACAGTGACGGGCCCACAGTTACCTGGCTGATTTTCATGACTACAGTGGGAATAGAAATCATGGTCACCTGCTTTCTAGCTTGGTTTCTTAACCACTAGAACAAACTGGCTCTTTTAAAAGACATATGTATCCTTAGAAGATCCCTTGCTGTATTAATTTATTAGATTTGTACACAGTCAGATCTATTTGGTCTCACAACAGCCTACACATCAAACACAATTTTAAAAAATCAAACACAATTAAAAAGACCAAAAGAGACTGAACAACTCAAAACAAGAAACACCACCCCCCAAAACAACAATCTGAATTGCACAACTAAGTTTAATACCAGATAGTAGGCAGTTGTATTTGTATCTATTGCAGCTTTTAAGTGTTCCTCAAAGGTAACCCCACATAGAGCACATACTATCTTTAGTGAGCTGTAATGAAGGTGTGGGTTACTATTATAAAGTTCAGATAGGGCAGAGTAATAACTACAGTACTGTATGTAATGTGGACAGACTAGTCAAGTTAGTATTGCCAGATAATTTCATTAAGATGCTTTAGGGGTTAAGATATGGGTTTAATTATGCTTAATGTTGAGCAATTGGAAGATAACATTTGTGCCCATATTTTGAGTTTTTATTTCTTTTACCCTATCCTTTTATACTTTAAATTTTATGTCAAATAGTGTACTTTATTTTAACTGGGATGCCTCTGACACAAATAAACAAACCCTATCTTGAAAGCAGAACTTTGAGTGTTATGTTTTAAAGCAGGACCATATCCTAGGGAAAGTACAACAACTTAGGAAATATCTATGATGTGTATGATTTTGATTTTCCCTTCCCTTCACCTTTAATAAAATATTTAAATTCTACAAGTTAGATCATTTCCTGTCCTGGGTTTAAATTGCTTCCTCCCCAGCACTTTATCTTTTAGTGTTGTGAATTATATCTGTAAAATTTAAGCCTCTGAAACTACTTCACAATACAGTAAAAATAGCTCCTATCACAGAGCCTTATTGTGAATTTTCTGTTTTCCCTTCAGCTACTGCATTATAGTTGAGCTTCAAAAAGTCTAAGACAAACTTATCCTTAAATGGCAACCAGAAATTCAGAGGTTGATGCTTTCTTCAAACTATGCGTCCAAGACTGTTTTAATCCCATGCTTTTATCAAGTGTTTAAATTCCATTGACTTCAATGGCATCAAAATATGGACTCTGTAAACATAGGTGCCATCCCGCTGCATCTAAATCCTATAAAGGTAGTCCTTGATTTATGACAATTGACCCCCAAATTTTTGTTGCTAAGTGAAACATTTGTTAAGTGAATTTTCTTCCATTTTACGACCTTTCATGCCATAGTTAAGTGAATCACTGCAGTTGTTAAGTTAGGAACACGGTTGTTAAATGAATCTGGCTTCCCCACTGACTTTGCTTGTCAAAAGGTCACAAAAAGTGATCACATGATCCCGGGACACTGCAACTGTCATAAATAAGTCAGTTGTCAAGCATCTGAATTTTGATCATATGACTATGGGTACTTCAACGGTTGTTAAGTGTAAAAAAAACGGTCATAAGTCACTTTTTTCAGTGCCGTTGTAACTTTTAACGGTTACTAAATGAAATGTTGTAAATCGAGGACTACCTGTAACACTAATTCCACCTGAAAGATTTCTTTCGTTTTGAAAAACTGAATGAACACCGTGAATTCATTGTCCCCATTCTCTCTCCTTGCAATATGCCTTGAAGAGGCATTCAAGACCTTGACAAATAATCCTTTTAATGATATCCAGCCTCCAGAAGAGCACAAGGTGGCCTAGAAGGGCTTCCCAAATCTCCGCAACCCAACTAGGCGCATTCTGAGAGAAAACTGTCACTGTTCTTGCTGCCGTTGTTGCGACTTCACTGCCCGCCTAGCCTCGCCTCGCCCCGCCCCACATCCCTGTCATCTGCCTACGCGGCGACGCCGGTCCGCGGCTGCCTTTCGCTTCTCTCCCCCTCGCTTGCCCGGTTGCTTGCCCGCCCGCGAGAGGCGGCGCGGCGCCTGTCGAGGGCGTGCCGGGCTGCGGCGGGGATTTTCCCCCCTTCGCCCCGCGACGCATGGAGAATGGGGGCGCCGGGAGCGACCCGCTTAGCCCTTTTCTCGAGGAGGTGGAAAGGCCCCAGGCGGTGGCGGTGGCGGCGTCGTTGTCGTCGTTATTCCGAGGCAGGGCTGTTTGGCCCAACCGATTCTTGCTGTGTCTGTACGCGGTGGGCTTTCTGGTGAGCTGGCGAGGCTGCGCGGCCACCGCAACGGTTGAAAAGCTCGGCTGGCCCCGTGGGCCGCCGAGTCCGGAGCCAGCAGCTTCTTCCTGTCACTCGGTCCTTGCCTTGGGGCGACTTTTTCCGCATTCAGCCCTGAAAGTGGCGGAGGCTTCCACTCTGCATGTGTTCAGAGGCAGCCTGTAGTCCAAGTCTTGGCATTGGAAGAAACGCAAACTTCCGAAAGGAGCAGAGTTGGCAGACTAATCAAGGATGGGATGGTGGGGGGAGGAGAGTCATTTGACAATTGGAAGTTAGGTAACATGCTTTGTTTTTCTGCAGAGAAAGGTCCGGTTGCTTTGCTGACATATTTTTATTGATGAGGACATAGCCTTTCTTATGTTTACCTGGAACTATTTTTAAGTGGTAATCAATATGCAAATAGGAAGCACAGTTATTCATTTATTTGTTTATAAATTTTTATGCCGGCCATCTCCCTTACAGGAGAAACTATTGCTGTATTCAGTGATTTCTGATCCTCCATCCAATGAATACTGCAAATAAGAATACCATATAACCTGATCATTTTCATTTGTTCACTATTTATTCAATTTACCTTCATTTTTATACCACCCACCCAATCAACTCTGAGTATCTTAGTTAAATAAAGCATGTTTAGAGACTTTCCATCTCTAAATACTAATACCAGCTGTCCTGCTTGGAAAGTATAAAGGGGTGTTGGTTTACTTGGACTACTTTTAAGTGATTTTCAATTACGATAACTGAATGCATGGCAAAAGTAACATCTAACATCTCCCTGTTTTGCTGCCCAAAATTTCCCCAAACCCCCAAATTGTATTCTAATACATTTTCCGTTCTTCTACATTAAAAAAAGAGAAACCACAATTTTTCTCTGTCATACTACCATGCTCAATTGTCAAGCAAGAAAAAGAAAATGCTGCTTATGATTACTGGTGTATTGGTTACTTTGAGTCAAAAACAGGTTGGCAACAAAACTTACATTTAGATTAATTTTCTGATATATTGTGGGTTAAAACACTGAAGGCTAAATATATCACAGAATGAAAATTATGGCAGGATTTCCAGTCCCATGTTGAATATGGAGTAAATCAACAATAGGAAATTGAAAGGAATGTGCATGGAATCACCAGAGGATTATAGCTTTTGCTGTAACATTTGGTTCACACTTCTGAGGGCTGCAATAATTTATTTTGCCTTATTCCACATGAAACTAGTTTGTATTCAACTAGCATCATTCTGGAGGATTTTAATCAGAAAAATATCTTCTCTGTCACATACAGTGTCTTTTATTTGAGAATGAGAATAATGAATCTGGAATTCTAGCCTTAAGATGCCTTCTATAAGTGACCAGTAGTGAATTCCTCAAATCTATGGCTGATTTTGCGTTGTGTATTTTTTTAAGTGCAATATTTGCTTTGCAATCTCTTAAGTGGTTTAGCTTTCATTACTAGTTTACAACATTTCTGGCTGTACCTATTTGGGTAGAATAATGCCAGTGGAGATGTACATCATGGCTAAGAAAGATAACTGAATGCATAATGCATAGTAATGCATTATGATTATGATTTGGTAGGATTAGTGTATGCAGTTTTCAGAAAGGCTCATGGAGACATATATAATTTTATATTCAGAACCAATGTGCAACTTTCTGCTACAATAATCTTTGGCAAGCATGGTTGAGAATTTAAGTCTGAAAATATTTCTGAAATTGATTTTTTGAAAAAAAAAAAGCACTGTAAGCAAATATTGCTAAGACAAATCCTTTCTATTGAATACTACAGAAAAAACAAAATCTTGTCTTTCTATTCAGGAATTATTGTTATACGGAAGTGATAAAATACAGTTAAAATGCCTGTCTATGGATTGTTATTAGCACGTTAATATTCTACACTTACGTTTTTTTTAAAAAACCTTTGTTGTCTATTTCCAGGATTTCTTTGGTGTCAGTATGGTTGTTCCCTTGTTAAACCTTCATGTGAAATCTTTAGGAGTGAGTTCAACAATTGCAGGAGTGGTAGGTAAGCAGGCCATTTTTCTTAGACTAGAAGCAAATCATTTTTCAGCATAAGTCCCTTGGTGGCGTAGTATGTGTATTGTTGTAACTTACTGTTATTTAATTATATTTTATAACATGATATGTTATTTCTTGTGGTTACAACAATAAACTTACTACTCTTTATGAAGATTTTTCTTTGTAACAAAAGATTACATGGGGTATAATTTAGCAAACATTGGTATGTAGAATCTTACTTTTTCACCAAATGAAATTCTACATTTAGGCGAGAAAAACCAAATGCACAGGAATAGTATAGGTCACGGATCGGCAACCCATGGTTCTGGAGCCGCATGCGGCTCTTTCAGTCTTCTCCTGCGGCTCCCAGTCCTCCTCCGCCATTTGCAGTCCCACAAAAAAAAGTGGGACTAAAAAAGTTCAATCAATCAATTCCAACTTCTCACGAAAAAAAAAAGATCTTGCGAAGTTGGAATTGATTGACTGAACTTCGTTTGTTTGTGAGACTGTCCACAAACTTCTTTCTTCTTGGGACTGCACGTGGCGGCGGTGGAGGAAGAGACAGAGTACTGCTGGAAAGAAAATGCGTGGGTCAGATGGGGTGCGTGGGGGGAGGTTTCTGCCAAGCATCGTATGGAACTGGGGAAACGGGCTGGGTGGGGGAAGCTGCCAATGCCACTGCCATGATCCCCCTCCCCAGCCACCCAGCCACCATCGCCGATATTCTCACCTGGCCTCACGCTCTTCTTCTCGTCTTCTGCACTCAAATCAGCTGCTAGCGGCTTGGATGGCTCTGCTCCGTCCGAGTTGAAGAAAGCTGCTTTCTGCTGGCCTCCGCTTTCTTCAACTTGGATGAAGCAGAGCCACCCAAGCCGCTAGCAGCCACAGCTGGAAGAGCTTCAGCCGAGGCTGCTTTACACCTTCCTCTCCAGCCTTGAAGCCGCTTAGCATCGTCGGCTGCAGAAAGCCATTCTGGCTCTCAGCTGTGCTCAAGCAGTTTTAATAAATGCCTCTGGCGAGACCCTATCAGGGCCCGAAGGAAAGGTCAGCTCTTTCTAGCCGCCACGTGCTCTCGTCCCACGGAGCGCCTTTTATGTATGAGGCGCCCGCCTCATTCATGCCCTGGAGCGCGAGGAAGGCGGCCAGAAGCAGCGGTGGAGGCACCTTCCCACTCGATAAGGCTGATGCAATGTAAAGGTGCTGTGGGCTCAATTCCGGCCGCCCCCTTCCCACCTGGACCTCTCCTCCAATTAGTTACTCGGGTGCAATAGCCCCTCCTCTTCAAGAAGACTCATCCAACTCTACGCGGGGGATTCTGGCGAAGGGGGCGCAATGAGCGTGAGGGAGATTGGAATTTGTTAGATTTTCCCAGTAAGTCGTTTGCTGGGAGGGAGAGAGGGAGGGAGAGGGATGGAGAGAGAGAGAGAGCGCATGTGAACTGCAGTAGAGGCTGGTCTCTTCCCAACCCAAATGGTGAAGCATCAATTTGGTTTCCAGACATCTTTTCAGAGCCCTGGGATGCATCTTTTTGCAATGTCTTTATTTGCCTTGAGTAGTTCTTTATTTAATTAGCGATGCAAATTCAATCCAAGAATTATGTGTATGGAAATCATTATTCTAAGAATTAGAAAGCAGCTCAAGAGGCAATCATCCTGCCTGGTGTATCATGTGAAGGGGCTCTATCAACTCTATGTTGGATATTGTCATCTTCTCAACATTAATTTGGCTGCTCTAGACTCATTAGCTTCCAAACCAAATTTAAGGGATGCCGCAAAGCCACAGCCAGGTGGACAGGCCTGCTCTGGAATATATTGAATTTAATTTTTAAAAGATTGGGAAAGGAAAAGCATGTAAAGCAAATTATTTTGGTCCTTTTACTTTTCTTGTTTCCTAGGAACTGTCAGACAGTTATTGAGACAGGTGAGTGGCAGCCACCCCCTTTTAAAAGACAAAAAGGATTGGAATTTGTTAGATTTTCCCAGTAAGTGGTTTGCTGTGGGGGGGGGAGAGAGAGAGAGAGAGTTTGTATACATAGCATAAAGGTAAAAAAAGATATATGCAGTGTTATCTTCATTTTAGATGTCAAAAGGGTTTTGCGGCTCCCAGTGTTTTCTGTGGGAAACAGGTCCAAATAGCCCTATGAGTGTTTAAGGTTGCCCACTCCTGGTATAGGTGGTACCTGGCTCAATAGTAGTAACTGGGAGAGGGATCTTGGAGTCCTAGTGGACAATCACTTAAATATGAGCCAGCAGTGTGCTACAGCTGCCAAAATAGCTAACACAATCCTAGGCTGCATTAACAGGGATAGAATCAAGATCATCTGAAGTGTTAATATCACTCTGTAATGCCTTGGTAGGACTACACTTGGAATACTACATTCAGCTTTGGTTGCCACAATGTAAAGAAGATATTGAGATTCTTGATAGAGTACAGAAAAGAGCAACAAAGATGATTAGGGGACTGGAGGCTAAAACATATAAAGAACGGTTGCTGGAATTGGTTATGTCTAGTTTAATGAAAAGAATGATTATTGGGTGACATGATAGCAGTGTTCCAATATCTCAGGGGTTGCCACAAAGAAGAGGGAGTCAAGCTATTCTGTAAAGCACCTGAAGGCAGGACAAGAAGCAATGGATGGAAACTAATCAAGGAGAGTAACAATCTAGAACTAAGTAGAAATTTCCTGACTTTTAGAGCAATTAATCAGGGGAACAACTAGCCTCCAGAAGCTGTGAATGTTCCAACACTGGACATTTTTAAGAAGAGATTGGGCAACCATTTGTCTGAATGGTATAGGTTGGTAGTGCTGGCTCAATGGTCTTGAAACCGAGATGAGCATTGTCCCCTGTAGTTCAGGGCTTTTCAACCTTTTCACCCATTGTACCACTTTTAGGATATGGCAACATCCGAGTACCACCAGTCGCCTAGCAAGGTGTCAAAAACTTGATGACCAAAAAAAAAAAGGAAAAAAGTGATAAAGTACAGATAGTCCTCGACTTACAACAGTTCGCTTAGTGACTGTTCAAAGTTACAATGGCACTGAAAAAAGTGCCCCCCAAGCCACAGCCGAGCAAGACACCTGCCTGCCCGCCCGGCCACGCTCTTCCTCCGGTCTGAGGTTTTCATTATTGTGAGCATTTCTGTTGAGGATTGGCAGCGGGAGTGGGGTGGGGGGTGTTTGGTTTTTATTCCCCCCATCTGCTGGGTGGTTGCAGCAGGTTTTGGTCACTTCACTTGACCCTGGGACACTGTGACCGTCATAAATATGAATCAGTTGCCAAGCATCTGAAGGTAAATCACAAGTAGGCTGCACCCACCCTGGAGAGGCTGCAACATTCCAGCTGATCAGCGCTTCTTCTGGGCTCAGCAGAAGCGTCAGGATCAGCGCTGAGCTCCAGCTGGAGCCTGGTGCTGATCCTGGTGCTTCCGCTGAGCCCTGACAGCCCTGCAGCTCCAGCCATCTCTTGCTCAGGCTTGTGCGGTGCTGCCACCGGTTCAGCTCATTCCCCTCCCCCACTACCACTTTTCTAGGATGGTCGCGTACCACCTGCCAGGTGCCAATGTACCACAGGTGGTACCCGTACCACTGGTTGAAAAGCCCTGCTGTAGTTGGCAATAACTAATGGAGTATAATCTGCAGGGACTCCTTACTTTTTATAACTGAGCTTTCAGGGAAGACAGACACATGGACAACCAACTTTGTTGGGAGGCACTTAGAAACTAAATCATTTAAATGTTTGATAAATCATTTAAATGTTTTCTCCAGTTTTAGCGGTTACATTACTTATTATCTTTTTCCAGCAGAAACAGTACAAACTCCAGTGTCTTTAAATACAAAAGTTCATAAAAGTTCATAAAATCAAATCTTCCACAATAGTGGACCCTTCTCAGTTTTCAGCAGTGGCTTGGCATGTTTTCTGCCACTAAAAAATAAAATGGCAGTGGATGTTGGTCCGTATTCTATTTTTTCCAAGTGACTTATATGTGCCACTTCTTTCTTCTTTTCACGCGGTTATTGAAGCGTTTGTTCAAAAAAAAATAGTTTTAAGAAATGTATCTGGCCAAATGTATTATAGTGATGTCAAGAATAATTTGCTTTCTTCCTACTGAAAATCTATTGCAGAATGATCATCTATATATTTTTATTTCACTATTTTTTCTTCTAGGATCTTTATATGGAATACTCCAACTCTTTTCCAGCACCTTAGTGGTAAGTTTATATTCTTAATTCATAAATAACTACTGATTTTTTCAAAGGTTTGGAATAGTATGATGCTGTAAAGAGAATGTTGTATTTAAAATCTGTTCTTGTTTTGAATTGTCCCTGCAATAAACTGGGTTTGTTTCTCAGACAGACCTTTCTGTTAAAAATATTTGTATAGCTTTATTTTACTTTAAATATATTTTATAGTTTTGAAATTGAAAGCATTGATTTAAAAAATGACACTTTAAAAACAGGCAAATCCAAGCCAACTTCCTGTATTATCATGCTGTTATTGGACAAATTACCCCAGATGTGGTTGAACCAACCTTACTTCTGTTTTAGAGTTATTCCACTGGCAATATTGCAAGTGGTTGCACTTGATCAAGCTTATATGACCTTAAACATCAAGTAACAATTGGGCTATTAGTACTTGGAAAAGAGATCAATTGAGAATACCAAAGCTGGTACCTTGGAAGATACAAAAATACCTTTTATAAAGATATTTTGACTTTGAATCAAATCCAATCTTTATTACGGCTACACATCAAAATAAAGATGAAATATAGACAATATTTTTAAAGCTAAAAATCCTATGCATCCTGGATATTTTTACAGTATTGGTGAGATGAGGCTAGCACAAATGTCTCTGTAGTACAGGCACTGGAGGAGCATATGCCCTGTTCTTTCTGTATGTTCAGAATCACAGCAACAGTGCCTCATCAGGTAGGAAACTTTCCTTTATTGACCTTCAAGGACAACTCAGAGAAGGGCATGACACTGTGTGAGAGTGAAGGCGCACCGGTGACTGGATACTTTGAGGCTGATTAAGTATATAATGGGAGAAGAAGAGTACCTGTTGGATTCACTGGCAATAAAGGTCAGGAAGCTGATGAGGTCCAATTAGTGCTCAGTGTCTGCTGTATACTGTTTAATAAGAGTTTTGACTTGGTCGTATCGAATACTGAGAAGACAACCTAGATAGAAGCTGATGAATGTGATTTTAGTTGTCCCTGCCTTTTTCCATCTGGACTGAAAGTCATCCCTACTAGTTAGAGAGGTGAAGGAGAATATTTAACTTTGACAAATAAAAAACCATAACATTTTTGTACTATTTTCAAGAAAACTATAGGGATCTATCCAAGAAATTGATTCAATTCAAGAAAACTTTATTTTTATTAAATATGTAATTCCTGCAAACAGTGACTATCCCATTGTTTTGTCCCAGCCTTTCTGTTAGCCAATACTTAGCTTTTAAAAAGTACACGTATCCTTCGCTCCAATATAAAGATTATAGAAACAAACATTGTTCATCCCTATAGCACAATCTCATTTTCTCTAGCCATAGCCATATGTAGCTGGTTCTATATCTTTAAATACTATTATCAAGATTTTTCTGTTATTTGCAGCAATGTTTTCTTCTCTTTAGATATCTATTCTTTATTCAGGCAGGTCTCAATTAATGCAGTTAATAAACTCCATGAAATAGTCGTGTTATTCAAATAGCACTACTTGAAGTGATATTTCTGTGGAAAATAGCATAATTGATTCCAGCTGACAGAATAGGAAAGTAAAAATTTTAAACATAATTGTATATATTTATTAATGAAATACAGTGGTACCTTGGTACTCAACTACTTTGAAATTCATTAAATTTGGTGCTCAATTCATTTTGATGAGAAAATTATGTTCCAACTTGTTTGTTTGGTACTCAACGCACAGGCTATAACTTGTCGTTGTTGGTTGCCTCATGACTCGCTACCCTTTCCAACCAAAACAAAGGGTGACACATTAGTCACATGATAGCTCTTGCCCTGTGCACATCCCCTTAAAGTATTATCTTAGCTTCTGTGGTCACCTTATGTATTTTTGTGTGTGGGGGGGTTCTCATCAGTACAGGTAAAGGAAAGTTATTATATTTAATATAGTAATTTATTAATTTTTAGTTTTATTCTCATGTAAAGTAATGATATACAATCCTATCTTTTTACATATTGCCTTAAAATGTGCATTGTCTTTGGCTTGGTAATGCATTAAGTTTATTTATATTTATTTATATTACTCTTTATGGGAAAATTTTGTTTGGTACTTATCATTTTTGGTTCTCATTGCACCTCCAGGAACCAATTAACAACGAATACCAAGTTACCATTGTAATGTATAAAAGTCAAAGAGGTTAACCCCATATCCAAAGCATACCTGCTATCTCCTGCAGTTCTTCAAAATGAACCACTTCTTTTTTATTTTTCAATATTTGTTTTCATTCTGCAAAAACAACAGTTAGCATGTAAAACTCATTATGGCAACTGCACATGCACTAGCCTCAACCATATATGTGCTAACCCCACAGTAACAGAATTTTGACTTTCATTAAATGGGTCCTTGTATCTATTTGAACATTGCAGTAAATCAAATTTTGCCCTAACTGTGACCTACCTGTAATTTACCTTGTTAAGCAAAAAGGTATTTATTTATTTGTCTGTCTATTTATGTTTGCTTGTTTATTTAATCTGTAAAATCAGTGTGATATAATGGCTAGGATGTTGGAGTAGGAATGGGCAGATTCATACAGATCTAACTCTGGCAAGAAAATTCATTTAGTGATTTTGGATCAGTCATTTCTTTCAGCCCAACCTACCCTACAGGGCTGATATTTGGTGAGTAAAATAAAGAGAAATCCACAGGTCCCAAGGAAGAGATGCAATATTGGAATTCAACATTATGGAAACACAAGCAATAGAACACAGTCAAACTAGAGTCTTGGACTTTAAGAGAGCTAATTTCAATAAACTTAGAGAGGGCTTGGGAAGGATTCCATGGATGAGAATCCTCAAGGGGAAAACAACTCAAGAAGCTTGGGAAATTTTGAAAAGTGAGATAATAACAGCCCAGTCTAGCACAATACCAACAAAGAGGAAAAATAACAGCTCTCAAAAGAAACCAGCATGGCTGCATAAAGAACTCTCTGATAAATTGAAAGATAAAAAGGACAAGTATAAAAATTAGAAAGAGGGGCACATAACTAAGGCAAAATATCAGCAAATAGCCCGAGCCTGCAAAGATGAAGTGAGGAAAGCTAAGGCTCAAAATGAACTAAGGCTTGCAACCAAAGTCAAAAATAACAAAAAAAGCTTCTTTCAACATGTAAAAAACAAGAAAAAATGAAGGAAATGATTGGTCCATTAGTGGGTGAAAGTGGCAAGAAGGTGATAAGCAACAGGGAGAACTATTTAACTCGTTTTTTGCATCTGTCTTTACACAAAGGGAAAAAACAAACCAACCTATCAAAAATAGTGCCATAAAAAACAGAATAGAAACACAAGTTAAGATAGGCAAGAAAACGGTAAGTGAGCACCTGTCCAGCCTAGACAAGTTCAAATCGCCAGGACCAGATGGATTACACCCCAAGGTTCTCAAGGAACTAGCAGATGTGATCTCAGAACCATTGAACTATATTTTTCAAAGATCCTGGAGCACTGGGGAACTACCAGAGGACTGGAAAAGAGCTGATGTAGTTCCCATCTTCAAAAAAGGAAAAAAATGGATCCAGGAAATTACAGACCTATCAGCCTGACCTCAATACCTGGGAAGATTCTGGAAAAGATAATCAAACAACGAATCAGCGAATACCTACAGGCAAACAAAGTCATTACTAAAAGCCAACATGGGTTTGTCAAAAACAGATCATGCCAGACAAATCTTATTGCATTCTTTGACCAAGTGACAAAATTAGTGGATCAGAGGAATGCTGTGGATATAACTTACTTGGACTTCAATAAGGCATTTGATAAAATAGATCACAACCTACTATTTGATAAGATAGAAAAATGTGGGTTAGACAGCATCATCACCAGATGGCTGATCGGCCGTACTCAGCATGTGGTCCTCAATGGAACCGCATCTACATGGAGGGAAGTGTGTAGTGGTGTGCCCCAGGGCTCTGTTCTGGACCCAGTGCCCTTCAACATCTTCATCAACGATTTGGACGAGGGGATAGATGGGGAACTCATCAAATTTGCTGACGAAACCAAGCTGGCAGGAATAGCCAACACTCCAGAAGACAAGCTTAAGATACAGGAGTATCTGGACAGACTTGAACACTGGGCACTATCTAACAAAATGAAATTTAATGGTGAAAAAAGTAAGGTTCTACATTTAGGCAAGAAAAACCAAATGTACAGGTATAGTATAGGAGGTACCTTGCTCAATAGTAGTAACTGTGAGAGGGACCTCGGAGTCCTAGTGGACAATCACTTAAATATGAGCCAGCAGTGTGCTGCAGCTGCCAAAAAGGTCAACACAGTGCTAGGCTGCATTAACAGAGGGATAGAATCAAGATCACATGAAGTATTAATGCCTTCGTAAGGCCACATTTGGAATACTGCATCCAGTTTGGTCACCACGATGTAAAAAAGATGCTGAGACTCTAGAAAGAGTGCAGAGAAGAGCAACTAAGATGATTACGGGACTGGGGGCTAAAGCACATAAGGAAAGGCTGCTGTAATTGGGTATGTCTAGTTTAATGAAGAGAAAGACGATGTGGTACATGATAGCAGTGTTCCAATATCTCAGGGCTGCCACAAAGAAGAGGGAGTCAAGCTATTTTCCAAAGCGCCTGAAGGCAGGACAAGAAGCAATGGATGGAAACTAATCAAGGAGAGAAGCAACCTAGAACTAAGGAGAAACTTCCTGACAGAACTATTAACCAGTGAAACAACCTGCCTCCAGAAGCAGTGAATGCTCCAACACTGGAAGTTTTTAAGAAGAGACTGGACAGCCATTTGTCTGAAATGGTATAGGGTTTCCTGCCTGAGCAAGGGGTTGGACTAGATGACCTCCAAGGTCCCTTCCAACTTTTTTATTATTATTATTATTGTTATTGAAATCCTTGAGCTTTATGAAGAAGAGCAGGATAAAAAATTAATAAATATAATATTAGTAAATGTGTTAGAAATTTACAAATGATAGATATCACATGTTTAGATGTACCGTAAGTTATTGGGAAAATATGGGTAAAGATAGGAATAAATAAATTAGTAGACAAGTATTAGACAAGCCAGAGGATTTTAAATTATAAGGAGCTTATTATTTATCTCATTGGATCTTCTTCCCACATCTAAATTTGAATACAATCTATACATGATTAATAAACAGATATGATGATCTCAAAACATTTATGTTTTCTTACCCAGGGATCTTGGAGTGATCTAGTTGGAAGACCTCATTGCCTACTTGTATGCATTCTCTTCAGTGCAATAGGTTATTTTGTGCTTAGTATATCCACCAATGTCTTTTTATTTGCCATTGCTCGGACCTTTGTGGGTAAGTTTGTATTTCTCTATTCATATCCAAGTTTAATTCATTAGATAAAGGGGAGGAAGTATCAGATTGCCATTTTAATTCAGAGCAACTGTAATTATAAATTGATTGATTGATTGATTATATGCTATCAAGTCAATATCTATCTTAGCAACTACATAGAGAGCAACAAATAATTGTGGAGAAAATCTTACCTGGTTGTTCAGGTCTTCTAACAGTGAATCCATCATCAGAGTAACTAAGTCCATCTGCGTTGCTGCTAATCATCATTCTTCTTACTTTCTTTAATATTGTTTTATTGTATTATAAGATGCAAGCAATGCATTAAATTAATTAGGTGCAGTAGTATTTATACATTATTAACTAGCATTAACTAGCACTATGATGATTTGGATTACTTAAATGTTTAAATATAAGAAAAAAAATTAATACTGACTAAGGTTTCTGAGATGTTAATGAGCTTATAATTGTTTAAATTTACCTGTAGAGCTGAATGTAGCATTGACAGGCAATTGCAAAATGCATTAAGTAATTTTGTAATATAGTAATATTTATGCCTTAAGTTTAATGTTTAATACTAAACTTTCCAATGTATTATTTTTGTTGTCTACACATATTAAAAAAGAGAAAAACAGTGCAGAAGGAAAAAATACAAGTTGCTTGAAAATATAGATAGGTATTTGGTTTCTAATTTCCCTTCTTTATAATTTCCCTTCTTTATAATTTGATCAATTTGCAGTATTTATAAATACTTATATCCTCTTAGAAACCAATTGTTAATGTTTATATTTGCCCTGAGTCCTACGAGGAGAAGGGCGGGATATAAATCCAAATAATAAATAAATAAATAAATATGGCACATATGGGAACTATTCTTGCTTTAATTGTCCTTTTCTTCCACCTTCTCTAGACAGCTAGATCTTTACATGATATGTCTGAAGTAAGATAATTTGAGTGTGATTATTTGTTAACTGATTCATTTGTTTGTTTTCTTGGCTGTCTGTAGTATTCTCAAGAAACTCCCAACACCAAAGTTCATAAGCATTAATACTGCTCCTTTTCTCCTTCAATCCAATTTTCGCTTTTGTAGAATGTCATAGGAAATAAGATGGTTTGCACGATTCTGATCTTTGTAGGTGTAAACAGAATATCTTTTCCAAGGTCTTTGTGGCCATTCTACAAAGTGCTAGTCAACAGAATATTTCTTCTCTATTTTTCTATTTTCTCTATTTCATCTTTTGTTTCCCCGTTAGGTTCTTCTTTGAACAATGCATTAGCAAATAATTATTGCTGTCAGTTTAACTATTGGGTTCTTTAATAACTTGTTGGTTGAAAATGTCTTTTTAAATAATTATGAATCCAAATGTGTATAAAAAGTGAGGTTGACAAAACCAGTGTCTTTAAACACTCTGTCACAGTTAAGAGTTTGATGGCTTTCATCTCCCAGCACTCAGACCCGCAAATCAATCACTGTCCTGAAGCCTCCCCTTGAGGAGCAATCCTCTGCAGCATATGCAGGTGTTCTCTTATCTTCTTTTTATCTGGAAAGGATCTGTTAAACCAGTCTTATCACCAGTCATTGAGTCTTTGTTGACAAGTCTCTGCTCTTCTGGAGATATCTTGGTTCAGATTACTCAGAAGTCCAAGAATAAGACTATTTATGATTAGTACTACAGGTTCTGCTAGCATCAGATATATAATTATGATGTACAGCTTGTTGCTTTGCTAGATAAGTAGGATAATGCTATTTGTTCCTGTCTTGCTTGTAGATAGTTAACAGGATATAAGATTAGCTAGTCCTTTCACTACTGATTTTTTCAGTTACGAGAACTGTGCACACTTACCACTAGCATGATCAAAAAATAAACGTATGACTAATTTGCTGCAAATTAATGCCATACTATTTTTCATAAAAATATTTAATAAAAATTATTTGATTTGCAGCTGACAAACATTTGATTGAATTTTTAATTAGCATCATTTTGTTCTCCATTTTGCTTTTATTTACAAAACAGGTAGTCCTTAGCTTACAACCATTTCGTTTAGTGACCATTTGAAGTTATAACAGCATGGGAAAAAGTGACTTATGACCATTTTTTACACTTATGGCCATTACAGCATCCTCATGTTCACATGATTAAAATTTGGGCACCAAAATTTGGGCAACCATGTTACTAACTTAACAACTGCAGTGATTCACTTAACAACTTGAATTATTCAAATTTTGCTTCTCTACTTATCTTTTTTGTTAATTTTAGGTATTTTCAAACATACACATTCCGTTTCCAAAGTACTCATTTCTGACATGGTTCCTAAGAAGGAGCGCCTCTTAGTAATTGGATATTTCAATGCTATTTCGAATTTTGGTTTCATTTTGGGACCAGTTGTTGGAGGCTATCTTACAGAGATGGAAGGTGGCTTTTACCTGACTGCATTCATCTGTGCTTCCATCTTTGTCTTGAATGCTGGTATGTGATTTGATTTATGCTGATATTTTATACCTGAATTACCAGTTGGGCAAGAATTATATTTCTGGGAACACACTTCTTCCCCTGATTTATCTTTATCTTTTATATTGTTTCATAATTGCAACAATATGAAATTGCAATTGCAAGTAACCTACCAATTACATGCTCCCTCCTCCAATTGTAAAAAATAAGGGCAGTATATTAATCAGATAAATAAATAAGATTAAATTTTGCTGCAGATATGTGTCTATGCATGAAAACTATTTGACTGTCTTGAGAGAAGAACTGCTTAGTTCAAAGCTGTGCCATTGCATTAATAACATTTTAACAATCGGCAGTACCTAATGTGCAGCCGTATAAAGTGATTGTGCAATGACCATCAGATTATGTCAAGAAAACGTGTAATAGAGTGTCATGGTGTATAACTCCTTGGTCAAATTCTTTTGCAGTTGTTTTTTGGATGTTGCTACGATATGGAAAAAAGATGCACAGTCATGAATGGACCATGATTAACAAAGCCAGAAGTATTATTTCAGAAGAAGTAAAGCACAGCCATCAGACTACAACTTCAGCTTACAAAGCTATGTCATCTGTTCATCGTAGGAACTCCTCTTGCATTGAAGTTATGTCTGTGCTGAAGAGGTTGGGCAGTGTTGCAAATTCTAATCTGTGGGATATTTTTTTGGTACGGCTCCTGATGTCTGTTGCGGTTATGCTCTATCATAGCAATTTTGTCTTGGGCCTTGAAGAAAGGTTTGAAATGAAGCCCAAACTCACTGGCTACCTAATTAGCTATAGTAGCACACTTGGAGTAGCTGCTGGCTTTCTCCTTGGACCTATCACTAAATATTATAGGCACAATACTTTTGCTATGTTATTGCACTCTACACTTCTTACCTGCCTGTTTATGTTTCTGTATTCTGTATCAGAAAGTCTTTGGACACTCATTTTGTCTTGTACATTTTTAGCATTTTCAACCACTGTGGGACGTACATGTATTACAGAACTTGAATTAATCCTGGGTGGGGATCAGGCCAGTGGTATGCTTATTGGTGTTGGTCAGTCTGTTTCAGCTGTGGGTCGCATAATTTCCCCTCTTCTCTCAGGTGTTGTGCAGGAATACAGTCCACGTGGCCCACCAATTCTTGGAAGTCTGTTGGGGATTTCAGCAATTCTTATCATGGTCTTTAATAAGTCACGATATTCTGTCAGAAGGACCATGAAATTTAAAAGTATGTAATGACTTATTTACAGTGATTTCCTTAAAAAAAACCAGAAAAACTCTCAAAGGAATGTTCTTCAATGTAGGGAAAATAGAAAATTATAAAACAGAGCGATAACATTTTAAATCAAACTGAAATCCTTTAAAGAAAAAGAGGAACCCATGTTTTCAGCTTCCTCGTGTTTATGTAGAATTTGGACCAGGGATTTTTTGATGGCACGTAATACCATTTTTCAAACCTTTATTAAATGTTGCTTTGAACATCAGTGAAGAAAATGGAAGAACAACTGCCATTCCAGCAGATATTCACTCTCACTGCATAAAGGCTTTGAAGAGATGTTAATTTGCTTAATGGCAAGTTGGTTGTTGAGTTTAACCCCCAAAGGATGACTTTGTATTTAAAAATAGCATTCATTTCTCAGTCAGAAACAGATTTGTTCAAATTCTTCTAAAATGAGTATTGGAACTGAAAACTATTTTTGATCATTCAGTTATCAAGATTTCACCAGGTGAATCGAGCTCCTTTTAAAAGTACATATTTAAGTAGTCACAGTTCTGTTTCCATAGTCTCTTTCTTCTTCATATCAAAGATCAGCTGCTTCAATTGAAACATTTGTTTAATCAAGCTCCTCACAGTTTGAATACAAGCTGCTATTTATTTAATACAAATTTGACATTGACAAAGCCTTGTAAAAGTGCTCACTGCTGAACATAACTTACCAACTTCATGCTAGAGCCTTCCATATGAAGACTAATATATTTCTTTGCAGCTGGAGAAAGGCACAGCTTTCATCCAGTGTGATAGGTCAGAATAATACAACTCTGTTTTAATATTTGGAGGAGAGGAGTATGATTTTGCAAAAGGAAATGTTTCTAAAGAGAATTGATTTCACATTCAAAGTATTTCACATTAACAGTATTTGTAGATTTATCTAGCTGATTAAAAGAAAATAAGAAAGAAGGAAATATACATTATGTTCTTACCATGAAATTCTGATTATTTCTATCATCAGCCTTACTCTTATTAATGTTTTTCAACTTTTGTATTGAACACTCTTCAACTCTGTTTTTCACATTTTAAAATGTATAGACTTTTATTCCCAGAATTCCAGTAAACTCAACATCCAATGTCAAAGTTGATTTGCTCATAACCCAAATAATACTCAACAAACTTTCTTGTGAAATTCAATCCAGAAATCTTGAGTTGGTTACTTAATATTATGTAACAAAAGTATTTGAAAAATATTCAACATACTTTTGGAGTACTTGAAAGCCTCTAAGAAGTTGTACTCAGGGATTTTGTGCTATGGTACTATTTGAGATGGTTTTGAATTGATTCTACAAAGGTTTGGTTTCAAAATTGCACTTCAATATTGGTAATGGAAAATAAAAGGAAAAAGTAAACCAAGATGATCTATATGTCATTTGTTCAGTTGCTGTCCCATGTGATATATAAATGTATATTCGTTGTTTGGTATATGTTGCATTCCCATTTCAAGAGGATTATATCATTTTCATCAAACAGAACACTATATTGCTCTTGAAATAAAGCAGCAAAAGTTTTACTGTCTTGACTAAACATTTTGAAGAAGTTTTATTCTAGCAGGCTATATTGCTGTCCTGTTCTCACTTTGTTTCGATATATTGTATCTTTGAGGGTTTGGGATGTAGACAACAGTATGTTGGCTTATAATATTGCCTCTAGATTGGAGAACTAGATGTTTGCATAGAATAGCATGAATATGCTCAAATAAAAATAAGCAATTGTGTTTATGGCATACTGTTCAAATGTGCTAAAATTAGCCAGTACCATCCTCATTATTGGCAGCTTCCTGGAGCCCATCAGGAAATACTGCTTCATCAATGGGACTGGCAGCATGCCCATTCTTCCAAATCTCATGGACAGAGCCATTGGGGCTAGGTAATGTGGCCTGATGCCACATAGAATTTTAAAAGTGACAACCAGTATCTTTACAGTGTTGTGAATATTGTGGGGGTTAAAGAATGGGTAAGGCTGAGGGGTAAATAGTGTAACAGGAAAAGGTTAGAATAGAGATGTATTTTGCTTATGGAGTGGCTATAGAGTTGCCTTAATGTATTGCTAAAGATACCGTATATAAATAACAATGGGAAGAATGCTTATTGTTGCCCTAGGCCTCTGGTGACGAACCTATGGCACATGTGCCACAGGTGGCACACAGAGCCCTCTCTGTGGGCACGCGCACCGTCGCCCCAGTCCTAGACCTTCAGCTGGGTTTTATAAAACCTTTTTGCTTTAGGTCTCCGCCGCCGTGTACAAAAAAACCCAAAAGGTTCAATCAATCAATTTCAACTTCTCGTGGAAAAAAAAAAGATCTTGCAAAGTTGGAATTGATTGATTGAACTTTTTAGTCCTACCCAGTCTGCCGTTACCACCGAAGCCACGCCCACCCAATGGGCCACGCCTACCCGGCACCCGGCGATACATAAGTGGGTATCTCTAAAAGGTTCGCCATCACTGCCCTAAGCAATGAAAAAAATAGTAAAAGTAAACTTTATTTTTAACATTTTAATTTTAAAAATTTTAAAATACTTCTATTTTAAAATAGAACTTTAAAATTCTATTTTAAAACTTAAAATACAGCCAGTTTGGTGTAGTGGTTAAGGGGCAAGGCTAGAAACCAAGAGACTGAGTACTAGTCCCGCCTTAGGCATGAAAAAGCTGAATGCAGTGTGAGTGGTGTATCATAGAAAAGCTTGCATGAGGATAAATTGAATGCTTAATTAATGGTTCAACATTGAAAATGGAGTAATTCAAGGATGTGTAATGTCTTTTTAGTCACCTGATATGGACAAATATATAACATATGCTTGAGTTGATAGAATTGTGTTTGTTGGAAATGTCAGTGTGCAGGTAGTTTTATATGCTAATAATATGTTAATTGAGGACACAAATGATTTGTAGCAATTGTTAGATTATGATGCAATCTGGAGTACTGAGCTGAAAAATAAGGTATTGGGTACCATGGTAGCAGTGCTTGACCAGGAAAGTTGAGTGAATAGCAAGTTATAAGTAAATATGAAAACTAAAATTAGTAAATCTATATGCCTTGATGAAATATTTATGAAAACAGGAAAACGGATAGAAAAATTTTAGTATGTGCTAATGCTGCTAGAAAGGTAGTAGGTAGTATGTGGTCTCTTGTGAAGAAAAAATGTTTGTTAAACAAAAACGCTTGTATGGGAATGAGAATCATCTACGTATTAAATATCAGAGTAAGTAGCATGCAGTAGAAATGGGGTGCTAAGAATTGCATGTGGTAAAACAGGAGATACAGTTAGCAGTGCATAAATGACTAGTAAGATCACTATGGATGAAATACTTTGAGATGATTTGGTCATAATAGCCGACAGCTGAAAAAACTGGGAAGGAAAACTGAATGATCAAGAAGAAAGCAAAGTCTGATAAAGTTATAATTTGGTTGAGCTAATGACAGCCTCACAAAAAGATAAAAAAATGTGCAATATACAAAACAGTATATGATTGTGATAAAAATAAGAATGGTTTGCAGCAATAGAAAGATATGAGAGGCATAGTGAATGTGTTGGTGTATTCATTGGAATATTGAAGGGTGTATGTATGCACTGCATGCATGTGTACTGCAATTAAAATTTTGGAAATAGTTGGTCTACTGGTTAAGGCACCAAGCGAGAAAGCAGGAGTCCGTGAGTTCTAGTTCTGCCCTAGCCTTGAAAGTCAACTGACTTAGTCACTTCTTTTATCAGGTTATTGTTGCGGGGGGAAATAGGAGGAGGAAGATGTGTCCAATATGTTCACTGCCTTAAGTTCTTTCTAAAAATAATAAAGGCAGGATACAAATAAATATAATGAAATACAATAAAAATACTTCTTTTAGTGGTCAATGAAGATTACATTCAGTGATAATGACATTTTCTGTTCCATGACATTTTCTGTTCCATGAATTCTTACAAATATTCACACACAATACTTTTTCCTCTATAAAACTAATTTCATGGTTACCTGTGAAACATGCTACCACAAAACTCTGTATCTTACAACATCCCCAAATTTTTATCTTGATGGAGAGAAATAGGAAGGGCAGACATGAGCACCAACAGGAAACTTACATTTTAAGGCTTCAACATCATTATTATTATTATTATTATTATTATTATTATTATTATTATTATTATTATTATTATTATTATTATTTATATAGCTTTTTTACAAAGAATACAGAAAAGGTGTTCAGGAACTTCGGCTTCATCTGAATGTAGAAAAATAATTTCAGTCTACAAGTTTTTCATTATCAGGGTCCATACTTGCAAATATATAAATGGGAAAAGGATTTTTCTGTTTATGTTTCATATTCAATAGAGTCATTTCAAATATGGGGATATCTGATGTCAGTGCTATTGATAGAATTGACTTTTGTGAACTTTCACAGTGCTTTGTGGTTAGTCATTCCTATCTGGAGTGGGAGAGTTAATTTGACCCATTCCAGGTACATTTCTAAAGAATGGAATAACCTTTTATAAAGTAAGTATCAATAGCTGACCTGTGCAGAATTGGTCATCCAGTTTGGTTATTGTTTAACCATGAAAATTATATCAACCTTAATTCCTGTTACTGATTCATTTTCTAGCATCCCAAATTTTCCTTAAATTGCATCAATCAGCAAGGATTGTAGTAATGTGGCAGAATTATTTCTTGCAGCACTACAAATGACCATAAAACATGAAAATTATAGATGTGGGCAAAATAATATGAGACCTGTACGGCTGAGTGAAAATGGTTATAATGAGCAAATATTGTCATATGACAATGACAGCCTGCAATGCAAATATGAATTAAAATTACAGGAGCAGGAAAGATGGCTTAAAGTATACTGTCTTGATGTACAGTACACCGAAATTCCAAACCATTCTAGAATGGCTTTAATTGCAATTTCAACAGGGTTGAAGTATGCTGTGTTCCTGTGTAATGTGCTATTTAACCATATACTGGTTGAAATGTCAAAGTGTTAATATTGTACCAAATTGAAGAAACTAATTAGGTTTGAATATTCTCACATTGTCAGTTTGGTAATTCTAGAAATGTTACTTTATCCTGTTTCCTAATATATATTGATAAAGAACATTTGTTACCATCACATCTTATCTATGTCCATCCAAAAGTCCAAGTAACTTTTATGTTGTCAAAATGTTATCAGATTCTTCTCCAGTGAAGGTAATACATGCTCTGCATTAAAAAATAATCTCATCAGCTGATTGCTGATATATTTAAAACAATGTAATTTATGTTGAACAAGAGCATAATTTTCTATTCTAAAAGACCAAAGAAAGTTATTTGTGAATTTACCAATAGATGGCACTAAAGACTTTTTTTCAGCCATTTAATGTTAAACTGAATTTCAGCTCAAAGCAATAGCATCAAACAACAACACACCACAATATTATTATTGTGCTTGGGCCACCTAAGTCAAAAGTATAATTTATCACCATCTCATATTTTGAAGCCCCATTGCATTTCTTTTTACTATCCGTAGGACAATTTCATTTGTATAGCAAATTCTGATTAATTTAAGTCTATATTTCTAGCGTACTATCAAGAGCGCATCAAGACCAATAACTGTTCGGAAAAAACACTTCTGATTTGTGATTAAATGAATGTATGTATGATAAGTGCATTTTATTTTTTTTCTTTAAATGGCAAACTTTTCAAAGAAAAGAGATCATTACTAATTGTGCATTTTAAGAGAGCATTGCAGCAGGGCTTTTAAAGTCACTCCTGTTTGTCTTAAAGCAAAGATTTTTTTAATTATATTGCTGCTTTTTTTAAAAAAAATCTGTATCTAGGGATACATATAATTTTAAAATAACTTCAATGTGTTTAAATAAATAAATAAACTTTAAGACCATTAACGTAATGTAGTAAAAGCATGATGATTGAAACAAAAGTTGTCCTATTTACATTTCTACAGAATATTAGAATTTGGACTTTGAAGGCAGTCTGAATATTACCTGAGTTGATGAACAGAATAATCTATGCATTATTATTAACAAATAATATAGACAGAAACAGTACACAATGGTTTACTGAGGATTATACCTTCTGAATATATGTGGTGGGGGCAAGAGGAGCAGAATGATGAAAGCAGCATTGTGCTATTGTAATCCACGTCCCCTACCCCATTTGTACAGGTCATGTTGCATATGAACATACAATAGGGACGGAGCCTTCATATAACCTATGAATATCCGTGCACAGATATGTGATTCATAAGAAATAACAAAGCAGAGGAGTGAATGTAAGGAGTGAAAGATTACCAAGAAAATAGTTGACAACTGCTATAGTTGGCTTTGTGGTTCAAGTATGCAGTTTTAATAATGTGCAAAATTCCTGTTTACCTAAAAGTAAGCTCCTTTGAACCTACAGAGTACATGTACAGGATTGTATCTCCAAATCAAGATAATCCTGTTTGTTCTTACAGAATCTTCTTTAAAGTAGCTCCTTACTGTGCGTTGGCACATTGGATATCTTTTAATAGGACAGGAAATTTTTAGTGCAATTCCTAATTAAAATCTGGCTTTGTTTAGGGCTACCCTCTAGTGATGGTCTGGATTTCTACAGTTCAGATATGGTAGCCTTTCCCTTGAAGATAAGTAAATCACATGTCAGGCATACAATATATAATTGATCAAAGTTATCTTCATTGTATAATTTACATTATTTGGTCCCAGAGCAGCTAAGAATTTCTTCCTACTTGATTTCTGTTTAGATTTTCTTTCCTTCCTACCCATCCCCCACAAGTCTATGGCCAAATTTTGAATGAATCCAATTGCCCTACTGCCATTTACATCATGCTAGTCTACTATATGTACTGCTGAGTGTTAGCATCTGTTTAGTAATTATTGCTACGGTTATTCTCAGATTTATCTCTTGGCCTTTCAGCTTTTGATGCCTGTCGGGCTAATCGAGGTGGTGGCAGGGGCTTGACTGATCTGTCATCTTCAGCTGATTCTTCATTCACTGTGCCAAATGCTGGTCTTGGCAACAGTGGTTGCCGGAAACCTCTTGTTGTTCCTTGAGGGTAGCTCGCTGTACCACCATTGTCTTTGTCTGTTTCATTCTTCCACTCAATTCTGCATTGTTGCTGATGAAGTCTTTGATCTCTCAAAATTTTTCCCGCTTGGGATTTGAAATTCAGCACCATGGTATGGTCAGATTCAGAATCACTGCTGTCACTTACTGCAAATTTAAAATATAGATAGATGATAGATAGATAGATAGATAGATAGATAGATAGATAGATAGATAGATAGATAGATAGATAGATAGATAGATAGATAGATAGATAGATAGATAGATATAGATATGTAGATACAAAACATAAAAATATATTGTTGTAATATAAGGTTATGGCACAAAAACATAAAATTCTCAAGAATGTTAAATACGTTAAGTCAATTGGAACCATAGTCTTCACTGGGTATTATTTTGCTAATAAATATAATCACATAAGGAGAAGAGCAATGTGCATTGGTTGGTACACCGAGAGGGAGCATATTTAATTGCTCACTTCTAATGAGATGGGTGGTTATATAACTTAGATTAATAAAAATAAACAAAAATAAATATGTAAATCTTTCTGTAGAATGGTATACAATGGATGGCCGATTGCCAGATATCCACATTTCCTTTCTTACATAATGTGTATAATAACGCTAATATATTCCTGTAAACATAGACGCACTTAACCTGTAATCTATTTAAAATTCCAGGCACGCTCTAGTTCAGTGTCAATTTTGCATATTTATTTCAAATTAGATTTTCCAAAGCAGAGAGTCTGTGAAAAGAAAGGTTAGTACCAACTTTAATCCCATTAGGCCATAAATAGACCCGATACAGAAAAATAACAGGGAAAAGTAATTCTGTGAATGACCTTAAAGCATAAATTAGCTATGGAATATGAGCCATGTTTCACCTCATTTGCATAATTAACATCATCAGTATTATCTTTACTAATTTAAAGCAAAGCTGTTTATGTTATCTAAGAGCTGGTACTTTTACTACATAAAATTATAATGAACAAAGTCGTTCTTACTAGATTTATCTAGATTACTAGATAAAAGTTACACATTCTCACGTCATAGTTTCATCAAGATAAGAGACAGTTGTACTTAAACACAACCCAACATTGCCAAATTCATCCTTTTTATTGCTGTTTGAATAACAATATTGGAAGCAATACCCTTTTAAAAAACAGTTCATGACATAATTTCCAGTCCAATCATAGGAAGGGCTTGTTCAAATCTTTGGACATCCCTAAATTAGCTCAGGTTATGGTAATTCAAGAAAACTACAATAGTTTCTTTTACAGAATTAAAGGTATTACAACAAAATCTCAATAAATCTTCTACTCATTTCTGGCCAAATAGGTTTTGCATGATTCTTGTTTTAATGGGACAATAATCAACAACAGGACTAAACATGAGTGTGTATAATAATAGGCAGTGATAATGCCATCATAGTCACATCCAGGATTTCCTCAATTTAGCCAAATGCTCTCACATGAGTCCATCTTAACCTACTAAATTCTAGCAAAATTTTCTCCCTCTTCTTACAGACAGAAAATAAAAAGCATTGCAATCATGCTGAAATTGTGCTATACAGTACATTTAATTGCACATGTCCTTAAACATACAGGTATGGTGTAAAAATGCACATGCACTTAATTGACACAAATCTTTATAGTCTGTCACTACCCCTGTGGTAGGCCCAGACATTGATGAAGTAATATTAAGATTATGTAGTATGAAATGAGTACGAACACAGTAATCAATTATTAGAATACCTGACTGCACATTTTATTATAAACAATATGAACTCACATGCACAACATGATGGATTCAAACTACATAACTTGATGAAATATCTGTTAGGTAAGACAGAAGAGGGAGAAGAAAATACAATCCACATATATATTACACAAAAACACTGAAAGGAGAGAAACAAATAGTTGGCCAAATTAATTGCACAAGCAGAGAATCAGAAATGTAAATACTGTCCATCCTAGGGTACATATTTTATTTTTACAAAGGAAGAGACAAGAATTAAAAACAGCCATAAAACTCCAAAATCTATATTGCCTCTTCCAAAGCAAGTGTGTTAAAATTATATAAATTAAGAAATAGGTTCCTACATAAAATACTGCTGAATTATAGTCTGGTAACCTAATTAGCTGAAATGCAAAATAAACGTCCCCGTCTTTTTAAAACTTTAATGTGTTTTTTTTTAAAAAAACATTTTAAATGTTTAATTCTTTTAATACTTGTGACATCATTTGGCAGTATTTACCATATGAAAAGTTTACTACTATTATCTACAACCTGTTACATATGCTGTATCCCTGAAAAGGCAAACTGTTAAGAAAAATCCTGGAGTTTCCTCAATCTGGCAACAGTCAAAGGAAGGCATAGACAAATAATAGACTCTGAGTATCAACACAACCAGGAACAAATAATACATGACAGACAAATACATGACAGAGAACATAGACATGTGACATAGAGAAGCCAGAAATCCTTTGCGGTTCTTTAGAATAGGAAGAAGCACGTGGAATCAACTGAACTAACAGGCTTAATCCCAAGCAGTTGTGCGTTGCTTGCATAATTCTCAATAGTCTAGCATCTCTTCTATACATTCCAGGGAATATCTGCAATGTAGTTTGTACATCTTTTGATACTGAAATATTCTGATTCCAAATGTCCAATCCCATTCTCAGAACACCCTTGCCAGAGATGTTCCAACACTGGAACAGATCATTCCATTTATCAGAGGTACTTCATCTACCATTTTACAACTATAAAACTGTATCAGGGACATTTCAATTCCAACATTTTTGCTAAGGTTGGAATGAGAACTATATAGTAGGTTTTTTATTGTTTTACACACTTCTGTGTGTTGGTAATCACCTTTAAAGCCTTCCATGGCATGGGTCCAGGTTACTTGAGAGAATATCTCATGCCAATGGGATTGGTCTGCCCCACTCATGCCGGCAGAGAAGACATGCTGCTGGCTCCGTTAGCCAGGATATTCTGGCTGGTGGAGTCCAGGAGAAGAGCCTTCTATGCCATCACACCTGCCCTTTGGAGCAGCCTGACACACCCCTTGCCCAAGTAAGATCAGTCCCACCCTTTTGATCTTCAGCTTAAAGACCTGGCTTTGACAGCTGACTGGGGGCTGCAATGGGAGGCTTCACATTGGAGGTGGTTGATAGATTAATAACAAATCCCATATTGTCCCTGCTCATCCTACTCCCTCCCTCCTCATCTTTTAGTTAGGGTTGAGTATTCATATTTTTATGGTATTTTATTTGTATTGTATATATCTTTTGTATAGTTTTATCCTTTTAATATTGTAAGCCACCCAGAGTTACCCTGTGGTAAATAAATATATCAAGACCACAGTTTTATTTTACTTATTACTTTATTCTTGACATGGGTTTTCATTGGCCAAATAAAAAGGAGCAACTAGTTGAGTTCTGTGTTCTATAAATGAGGAAGAAAAACATAGGGATATATGCGCATGTATGCAACGATCCCATATTTCTATAGATAGCTATGGTCAAAATGGAAGACTGTATATGACATTTTTCACCTCTTCTATTATGCCTAAATAAATCTTTGTTTTATATAGTGTCATAGATAAAATTAAAACTTACAATAAGGAAAAAGTTTTCTAGAATCGACATGGAAGAACATATTTTAAATGATAGTGAAGATATATATATATATATATATATATATATATATATATATATATATATATATATATATATATATATATATATATATATATATATATATATATATATATATATATTTGTGTGTATATACACACACACACAAAACATAAAATTAGTATAGAACTGGATAAGAACAATTTATAATATAATTAACTATATTAAATAGCAGTGAAAATGGTGAATAATTCATTCTTCTTTTTATTCCAAAACTGCATTACCTTTAAAGGAGGATTGATTTCTTTTCCGTGTTTTCTCTGCAAGTTTAGTATTTTTAGGTAGTGATAAGTAACGTGGTGATTTCATGTGCACCTACAAAAAGAAGCATAAAATGTGTTCAGGCAAAAAGAAATATATTCAAGTCAAATATTAGTATAGCTTCTCATTGAACAGAAATCTGTGTGAGGAACATTCTATTCATTTTAAAATAGAAAAAAAGATATGTATACATGTAATTCTAACAATTGCTATGTGTTTAGTTTTAGAACCCTTCCAACCCTTTTAGATTGGAGGAAAAGAAGGAACCTATTTAATGAACCACTCACTGCTGTTGTACTAAGATCAGAGCAAAAATCCAAATCAGCAACTTGTGTAATCATTCTAATATCTTTTAAATGATCCTAAAACAATCAGTCTCTGCTTTTCCTTGAAGTAATATCTGTTAAGTACTTTCATGCAAAGCTTTCCCAACATCACATTGCTGGAAATGCAGAGGTAGACAGTCACCCATAGAGGTAGCCTCTAAAGACTGAGGATTCTCCAATTCTTTTTTAAAAGAAATTGTATTTCAAGTGACATTTTAAAGGTAATTATTAAATGAGGATAGTAGAAACAACTAGTAGTACCGCACCAAGTGAAGCTGTTTGTGAGAGCAATGATCAATGACGTCTATATACGGTATCTTCCCTGCATTAAATGGGTGAAATGTCACTTGGTGTTAGTCTACCAGAGGAAGACTTATTGTTTGAAAAAGGTTGGTCTTAGCCTGGCATCAGAGAACAAAGGGCCTGACAACTAGGGGTTATAGTTTTAAGGCTATAAGCTTAAGAGCCTACATAATTGGTTTAATTTGATTTAAGCATTTAGATTCTCCTTTGTCATCTATACTTTATTTAGTTCCAGTCTAACCCACTTTTTCACAAAGAAAAAATCATTCAGCAGAAGAAGTCTATTCTTCAGGACTTTCACTTCTCTGCCTGCTGGTCCAGTAGGATTCAAAGAGTCTATATCTGAAATTATTAAGTGCAAGCAAACAGCACAAGGGTGGATTTTGAAGACCATACCTTATAAGCAAGGCAGCTAAATCTTATTACTTCGAAGCAACAAAGACTGTGGCTGTTGCTACTCATATTTTTTAGATATGCTCAATAGTTGTTTAAACATGATTCTTTTAAATTCATTTAATTCATGATGTACGCAGTTGTAATATCATTTTTACCATAGGCAGTAAAATGATTTGCAAAAGCAAATCAGAGTAGGGGAGAAAAGAGGAGAGGGGGTGTGTTATTTCCATTAAGAATGAATTATTTTTATTCTCCATATTGAAATAAAGATAAAGATTAGTCTTAAATTGACTAAGTAATAACTTGTTCAACTATTTTCCACCAAGCAGAAATAGCTCTCCTTACAAAAACATTTAGAGGCTCTTGTTATAAAGAAATAAATATTTGAGTATGAAATTAAAATAGTGGTCACTCTCAATCTCCTATGGAAGATGCACAGAATTTGTCCCCAAAAGACTGATTTTATCATTGATATCTTTCATTGGTTTCATGTGTTATCATGAAAAAGAATCAATATTTAGTGATATAGGATCAACCTATTGAGAATCATTTAGAGACCTAAGTGCTCCATTCATATAGTAAAATACATTGTGTAATAAAATCCCATGTAAAATATATTAAATATATAAATACTGTTCTTGATAAACTGTTGCTCTTCCTAATGCTCTCTCTTAGGCTATGTCGGCGACGAATCAAAATTTCTTTGGCCTGCTTTTCATTTGCATCTTCAGCAAGACTGTATCTATTATATGATGGAGTCTGCAACAAACAAATAAGAAAATATATGCTTTAAAAATATATTAATAGTGGTGGTTCTGATGGAAAGACTTCCTGAATCTTATTTTGTTTTTAAGATATCTCAAAAATATAAAGCATAATTAGCATAATGCAACACCTGAAAATGATGTAATATTCCATAAGTAATTTATTATTTTGGTAGTTTTCTTTAGTACCACAATTTATTTTAATAACTTAAATGTTGAATATCAGAAATGTCAATAATATTACAGACATTTATATAATCCAACCTATTTGATATGTAAGATGAGGCATAGAGATACACTGTCACTATGGCTAGATAAAAAAAGCAAACATCTCTAAACTGTTTTCCACACAAATAGATGTTCCCTAACTGATATTGGGAGAATAGAATTCCCACACTTTCTAAGAGTCATTTTTTACTGTATATATATTTATTGATATGCTAAATTTATACATTGCCAGAATTGGACTCTTGGCACTTTACCACAGTCAGTAAAATATAAAATAATAAAGCAATATGCTATAGAATAGAATAGAATAGAATAGAATAGAATAGAATAGAATAGAATAGAATAGAATAGAATAGAGCTGGAAGGGACCTTGGAGGTCTTCTAGTCCAGCCCCCTGCTCAAGCAGGAGAATCTATGCTATCTCAGACAGGTGATTGTCTAGTCTCTTCTTAAAAATTTCCAGAGATGGAGCACCCACGATTTCTGAGGGTAAGCTGTTCCACTGGTTGATTGTCCTCACTGTCAGGAAGTTTCTCCTTAATTCCAGGTTGCTTCTCTTCTTGACCAGCTTCTAACCATTGTTTCTCGTCCTTCCCTCTGGTGCTCTGGTGAACAACCTGACCCCCTCTGCCTTGTGGCAGCCCTCAGATACTGGAACACTGCTATAATGTCTCCCCTATTTCTTCTTTTCTTTAGACTAGCCAAACCCAAGTCCCGCAGCCCTTCTTCATATGTTTTAGCTTCCAGGCCTTGGATCATCTTAGTTGCTCTTCTCTGATTTTTTTCCAAACTCTCAACATCTTTTTTGCGCTATGGTGACCAAAATTGGCTGCAGTATTCCATGTGCGGTCTTACTAGGGCTGTGTAAAGTGGTACTAGTACGTCGCGTGATCTTGATTCTATGCTTCTGTTTATACAACCCAGGATTGTATTAGTTTTTTTTGTTGCTGCTGCACACTGCTGGCTCATAGTCAAGTGATCGTCCACTAGGACTCCAAGGTCACTCTCACAGTTACTATTTTTAAGCCAGGTCTCGCCCAATCTGTATTTGTGCCTTTGGTTTTTCCTGGCTAAGTGTAAGACTTTGCTTTTCTCCACATTGAAACTCATTTTGTTGGATAGGGCCCATTGTTCGAGTTTGTCAGGATCTTTTTGGATCCTGAGCTTGTCTTTTGGGGTGTTGGCTACTCCTGACACTTTGGTGTCATCTGCAAATTTGATACGTTCCCCTTCAATTCCCTCATCTAAGTCATTAATGAAGATATTGAAGAGTATTGGGCCTAAGACGTAACTTTGTGGTACCCCACTGCTAATTTCTCTCCATGTGGATGTAGTGCCGTTGAGGACTACTCATTGAGTACCATTTGTCATCCAGCTACAGATCCATCTGGTGGTAATGTTGTCTATTCCACCTTTTTTTAGCTTACCAAGGAGTAGGTTGTGATCTACTTTGTCAAATGCCTTACTGAAAACTAAGTATACTACATCCACTGCGTTTCACTTGTCTACTAGTTTAGTCACTTTATTGAAGAATGAGATAAGATTGGTTTGGCATGATATGTTTTTAACAAACCCATGCTGGCTACTATTTATGACTTTGTTTGCTTCTAGTTGTTCGCAGATCTGTTTTTTTATTATCTTTTCTAGGATCTTCCCAGGTATTGATGTTAAATTGAATGGTCTGTGGTTTCCTGGCTCTGTTTTTTTCCCTTTCTTGAAGATCGGGACCACATCAGCCCTTTTTCAATCCTCAGGTACTTCCCCGGTGCTTCAGGATTTATGGAAGATGTGGTGCAACGGCTCTGATCTGCCAGCTCTTTCAGAACTCTAGGATGTAATCTGTCAGAGGTCTTATACTCGTCGAGGTCGGATAGGAGTTCTCTTACCATTTTCTTACTTATTTTAATTTTTGTTTCTAGTATGTCTTTTGCAGTGGTTTTTTAGTATGTTGGGCTATAGTTTCTTTTTGTGTGAAGACTAAGTATGAGTTAAGCAGCTCTGCTTTCTCCCTGTTGCCTGTAATTTCCTTGCCATCTTCACTCTTTAGTGGGCCTAAAGTTTCCTTGACTTTTTTCTTGTTGTTAATATATTGGAAGATACTTTTTTTAAATTGGTCTTGATTTCTGTTGCGAGTCTTTGTTTGTTCTGAGCCTTTGCTTTCCTGACTTTTTCTTTGCATGTTCTGGCTGTCTGCTGATAATCGGCCTTGGTTATGTGCACCTCTTTTCATTTTTTGTATTTGTCCTTTTTGTCATTCAGTTTGTTAGAGAGATCTTTGTGCAGCCATGCTGGTTTCTTCTTGGATTTCTTGTTTTTCTTTCTCAGTGGTATTGTGCTGGTCTGGGCTTTTATGATCGCATTTTTCAGGTTTTCCACGCTTCTTGGGTTGTTTTCCCCTTTTCATCCATGGGATCTTTCGTAGGTTCTCTCTGAGTTTGTTAAAGTCAGCTCTTTTGAAGTTTAAGACATTGGTTGGATTGTTTTCTATTGCTAGTGTTTGCATTATATTAAATTCCAGTTTGGCGTGGTCACTTTCACTCAAGGTTTCGGCAAATTCAATTCCCTCTATCACATCTTCTCTATTTGTAAGGATTAAGTCCAGTATAGCTTTACGTCTAGTTCCCTCCTCCACCTTTTGGGTGACAAAGTTGTTGGCTAGGTTGGTTAGGAATCTCTTTGATCTCCCGCTCACTGCAGAGTTTGTCTCCTAGTTGATATCTGGCTAGTTGAAGTCTCCCATTACTACTGTGGTGTGCTTCCTGCATACATTTGTTAACTGGTTGGCAAACAGTTCATCTATTTCTTCTGGTTGGTTGGGTGGCCTGTAATATACACCTATGGTAATGTCACTTTTTTTCTCTTTTATATTGACCCATATACATTCTGGAGAGATTTTGTCTTGGATCATGTGCATTTCTGCAGATATGTAGTGTTCTCTTACATATAGTGCAAATCCCCCTCCTCTTTTTGTAGACCTGTTTCTTTTGAACAATTTGTATCTATCCATCAGTCCATTCCATTCATGGGTTTCGTCCCACCAGGTTTCTGTTATGCCAACTATGTCATACCCTCCCTCGTGTACTATTGCTTCTAGTTCACCCTATTTGTTCCCCAAGCTTTGAGCGTTTGTGTATAAGCATTTAAGACTTTTATTCCTGTCCGTGGATATGTTTCCTGTATCTCCTGGTTGTTGTTTGAATTTTTCTTTTTTCTCAACACTGCCTACCTCATTGTTTGATTTGTTTTCTTGGGATTTATGATTGGTTTTGGGTTCTAGAGATTCTAGAGGTTGGTCATAGTTATATTAACTGTAAAAACCATGACATCAGCCCAGTCACTATTAAAACTTTATTTATTGATTAGCTTTTTATTCTGCATTCATTACTTTATAAATAATTCAAAGCAATGAACATATTCTCTTCCTTCCTCCTGTTTTTTCCCACATCAAGAACTCTGTGAAGTAAATTGGGCTGAGAGAGAGAATGATTGGACCAAAGTCATCCAACCTGCTTTCATGCCTGAGGTGGGACTAGAACTCACAGTCTTCCGGTTTCTAGGCCAGCACCTTAATCACTACACCAAATATGCCCTCCATTAAATGTTCTGCAGAAGATTATGTCTTCAAAGCCTTCTTAAAAGACCATGGGTAAGTGCTATTTGAACCTCTGAGTTATAATGTTCCTTAGGTTTGTTCCACTTTAGGTCTCCCCTCCTCGGACAAGGATCCTGATTCTCTCCTGGTGGAAAAAGTATACCAAAGGGATCAAGAAATGGAGTTGAAGATATCCCGGAGCCAAGGTATGCAGGCTTCAAAACTTGAAATAATGAATTAAATTGTTCTACCTGGGAGCCTATTGGGAGCAAAGGCAGCATCACAGCACTGGGGTAATTCCAATTTAATATGACTGTAATATGACTCAAGTGCCGGCATGCAAGTTGCTTCATTCTATACCAATTGCAGTTTCCAAATGGCCTTCAAAGGAATGTCCATGTAAAATTCATTGCAAAATTACTTCTGATGTGATACAGGTATGAATATATTATTACAGGGCTCAGACATAGCCCCAACGTTAAGCAATACATTTCCGTAGAAGTTCCTGTGGCTTCTCCCTACCTGCATTTTGTAAGGCTGTGCTTTTCCTGCCAATGTGCCATTGGCCCTGAATGATAGTGGATGATAGCGGATAAATGTGTGTGTGTGTGTGTGTGTGTGTGTGTGTGTGTGTTATATTCAGGTACAACTATTACTACATTATTATAGCTGTTATTTTTGCTATATTGATTTTGATTAATTGGGGCAGTTCATAAATATGATAAATAAATAATATGAACAATATGAATAATATTATGCACCAGCCAAAGCCAGGCAAAAGGTTCCCTGATTATAGAATCAGCAGTAGCCATGGTTTGAGATCAACTCTCAGAAGCCTACTCCTTCAGAAGAAATAATATCCCATCCAGAGTAATAAGTGGAAAATGATAGTTCTGTCCTCATCCCAGCTTCTACAGCCACCAGGCACAGGGTCAAGACTTTCATGCTACCTGTGGCCTGACCAGGGATGGAAATATACATAATAATCATCTGAAACCAACAGGCAAACTGTCTCAGGCAATTAAAGCTTCTGCTGGAAAAAGACACATAAACACATTATCAGGAATCCTTTGGATAGGACTATATTTTAAAGATGAAAGTGTTTGCATGACTATATGGCGTTTTCATAAGATTAATTGGGGTATGAAACTTTCAAGACATGCAGCCTACTGGTTGACTGTATGATTGACTGAGTTGGGAATCCTCCCTGGGTATTCAGAAGTATGCTTGAATCTGATTTCAGTGAAAAAATCACACAAACTCTTAATTCTATTCTTCACCACATGGAGCCTTGGATAACTTGAGCCACCGATGGGCTGTAGTAGATTATACTCCTATAGGTGGAGTTTTGCTAGGAATAAGGGGGAAATTATCAGTTTCTTCTCCCCACCACCAAAACATACACACACACACACACACACACACACACACACACACACACGTAGGATTATAAAACTCTTTCATTGTTCATTGGCAATGAACATTCAGCTATTTTGTTGTTCTTTATAGGTATCTGTCCTTCCTAGCAAACAAAATAAAAATTGGTATGTTTCTATTGCCACTGTCAATGACAAATCTATGTTTTTCTTTACTGTATGTTAAATGTAAGATGAACAAGGCTCATGTCATTTTCATTCCAGCAGAAATCACTGGGGTAGGCATGGGAAAATGTGGCATATGATTACAGCTAACTATACACATATAAAGAGTAGCCTGCATGTTCATCCTCTCATTGTAGCTTTCAAAATATCTGATCCAACATGTAATGCTGTGTTTATGTTCCAGGCATTGTATACTCAATTTTAATAACAAGAGACACATATTTGAAAACTGTCTTTTTCAAACTTTTCTTAAGTCTTTTTGCAAAAACATAATTATTTCTCTTTGTTGCATAGCAATTCATCACCTTTCTTATTTAATAAACCTAAATACATTTGTTTGGAGATAAATTCCATTGATTGTAATAGAAATTATTTCTGCATATACATTTTAAGTTGACATGTTAATGTTTTTACTGGAAAATGAAAAAATAGCCTTCTGAGAAAGTAGATATAGCCATACCAAGATGTTATTCTAATATCTTGTTGTTTACTTACTCTTTGCCGTATCTGATACAGATTCTTTGTTAAAATCTCTCTTATGTTATCCATTTGGCCAGAATAAGGTGTATTTATTTTTTCTCCTTCTTGAGGCTCACTGTTGTAACAGGAAATAAAATATAGAACTAAACAGATGATCCATTGGAATAATATGAATTATACATTTTTTTCAAAGATAGAAAATCAATTAAAAGAAAGAAAACATATTTATCATGTCTTACATTTTAAAAAAACCCAATTCTGGTTAGTCTTGACTTAACCATATCAATAATGTGGATCTGCAATTTATTTAAAGTGCAAGTTGATAAAATGTTAAATAAATCTATAATTTTCCCAAGTAGATACGATCTATAGTTTCTTTCATTCATAAATATTTGAGAATTTAATTCAAATTCATAATTTATATCAATGTCAACTGATTATAGAATTAATTTCCTATGCCTTTTAATACATTTTACTCAATTAAATTTAAATATATTTTATATTATCAAAATCTCAATATAAATTTTGTTCTGAAAAGTTGAAGGTATTTCCTGGTAAATTGTAACCAGTAACAAGTTCATAACATATATTAAACATATATTAATTCTATATTAATCCTTTTTAGCTACTTTAAATTATTATGAGCTTCTGAATCCCCTATGGTCATCTCCTCTATATGTAATATCCCCCATTCATAACCCAGCCCTCATTTTGCTGATATTTCATAAACAATTCAAAGCAGTCCTGTTCAGACTCCAAACCCTGGGTCAACCCTCACGGTAATAATGCGAAAAACCAATATAAGTACTCCCAAGAAGAACAAACAAACAAAGATACATGAAGAACCTAATTCCATCAAATATGTAGATAAAGACAGAGATAGGGATTAAGACGGAGAAGTAATATCTTTTATGTTAATGGGTATTGAGATTAAAATGTACGTACTTTTTTACACATAGACATACACAAACAAACCAATCTATAAATCAATGTTAACTCTGTTTCCCCCATTCTGATTAGAAGGAGTTTCTGGCTGGAAATTGGGGAGTTGTATTCCCAAAATAATTGGAAGGTAACATATAAGGGGAGGAAGAGAAGGCTTTTTAACCAGTTTTTAGTGTTTAATTTCCCATTTAACCTTGCATTAAGTCTGTCTACTTGTGAAGCTCATGACTAGAGGTCCTTTTCTTATGTTGAAATAAGAACTCCACTCGGCCTCCAGGGATCTTAGATCCTCGGGCCCGGGATCACCGGCTGATGTTATGCAACGCCAGGTCTGTGGTAAACAAGGCCCCCCTCATCCAAGATCTTATTCAAGAGGGGGGTGCGGACCTGGCAGGTATCACCGAGACCTGGCTAGGCACGGAAGGGGGAGTGCCCCTCGTCGACATCTGCCCGCCGGGTTTCCAGGTATTCCATCAGCCAAGGACCCGGGGTAGGGGCGGTGGGGTAGCGGTCATTATAAGAGAGAGCCTATGTCCGAGGGAGACCACTGTACCTCAGATAGACGGTGGGGAGTCCCTCCTTGTGAAGTGGGGGCAAGGGGTACAAGTGGGCCTGTTGATTATATACCTGGCTCCCTGCTATGTATCAACGGCCCTGCCTGAGTTGGCTGACGTAATAGCAGGGGTGGCGGTTGAGACCCCCAGACTTATAGTCATGGGGGATTTCAATCTGCCATCAGCGGGCGAAACGTCGGCGGCAGCTCGGGAGTTCTTGGCTTCCATGACGGCCTTGGACTTGACCCAATTAGTTTATGCCCCCACTCACATGGGAGGACACACACTGGATCTAATTTTTGTCTCTGGCCAGTGGCAGAATGATCTGGAAACGGGGGAGGTAGTTATAGAGCCCCTGTCATGGTCAGATCATTCACTCCTTAAG